ATATTCAGAAGAGAGGGAAAGGGGGGGGGGGTAGGAGTCCTGTACATGGATTGTGACTTGTACAACACACGATGGAGTCGTGTATTTGGGCTATGATGAGGAGAGGTGAGTTGTGTGCCTCACAGGAGAGGCACACAATCTCTCAGACCATAGGAGCATATCTCTCACCAGAGCATCTCTCTCAGAGCGGGAGAGGTTGATGAAATAGAGGGAATACAGAGAACACATACGGCCTGTTGGACCAAGCTCTCACAAGTCCCCGGGCCGGGCCTGAGGAGTAGAAGAACTCCCAGAACCCCATTCAGGTACAATCCATGTACATATAATTAACGCGCACATAAAACACACACACACACACACACACACACACACACACACACACACACACACAACACGAGCAAATTCATGGAATTCAACACGGGCAAATGTAAAGTTATGGAAATGGAACCAAAGGGACAGTACACAATGAAGGGTAACAGCCTACCTGTAACGACGCGTGAAAGAGACCTGGGGGTGGACGTAACACCTAATCTATCTCCTGAGGCACATATAAATAGGATAACGACAGCAGCGTACTCTACACTGGCAAAAGTTAGAACATCATTCAGAAACCTAAGTAAGGAGGCATTTAGGGCGCTTTACACTGCCTACGTGAGGCCAGTCTTAGAGTATGCCGCCTCATCATGGAGTCCCCATCTGAAGAAGCATATAATGAAACTGGAAAAGGTTCAGAGGTTTGCAACGAGACTCGTCCCAGAGCTACGAGGGATGGGGTATGAGGAGCGCCTGAGGGAACTGTCCTTTACGACACTAGAAAGAAGAAGGGAGAGGGGGGACATGATAGGAACGTATAAGATATAAGAGGGATTGACAGAGTGGACATAGGCGAAATGTTCACACGGAATAGTAACAGAACGAGGGGGACATGGATGGAAGCTTGAAACTCAGATGAGTCACAGAGATGTTAGGAAGTTTTCTTTTAGCGTGAGAGTAGTGGGGAAATGGAATGCACTTCAGGAACAGGTTGTGGAAGCAAATACTATTCATAATTTTAAAACCAGGTATGATAGGGAAATGGGACAGGAGTCATTGCTGTAAACAACCGATGCTCGAAAGGCGGGATCCAAGAGTCAATGCTCGATCCTGCAGACACAACTAGGTGAGTACACACACACACACACACACACCCACCCACCCACCCACCCACCCTAAGGGTTGATATCACGCCAGACCTGTCCCCTGAAGGCCACGTCGAGAGGATAACATCAGCGGCATATGCCAGGTTGGCCAACATAAGAACGGCCTTTCGAAACTTATGTAAGAAATCATTCCGAACCCTGTGTACCACATACATCAAACCAATCGAGGAGTATGCAGCTTCAGCATGGATTCCGGGTGTGTGTGTGTGTATGTGTGTGTGTGTGTGTGTGTGTGTGTTGTGTGTGTGTGTGTGTGTGTGTGTGTGTGAGGAGTAGCCTCCCCCTCTCCCCACAGAGCAGTGGTGAAGGAGGGGGGGGGGGGAGTCATGATATATTGAGCAATTAATATAATCTTTTAGTGGGTTCATTAGTCGGGGGCGTGGCCTTTCATCTCCGGGAGCCGTGACTGCATCACTCCATGTCACTCCTCTACTTAGACACACAGAGAAAAGGAGAGAGGGAGAAGGGAGGCAAAGAAATAAAGAAATAGAGAGAGAGAGAGAGAGAGAGAGAGAGAGAGAGAGAGAGAGAGAGAGAGAGAGAGAGAGAGAGAGAGAGAGAGAGAGAGAAAGAGAGAGAGAGAGAGAGAGAAAATATAGCAAGTACATTCAAAAGCGCACATATGCAGTATTAAAACCTGTTTCCCCTAATATACAGTAAGTAATTAAAGGGAGATTTACAGTACAGGTAGTTAGCAAGGAGCCAGTCTTCAAGAAACACCGGTGTGTTAAGGAGTGACTTTATTAAAAGAGTGTGATAAAAGAGGCGGATATTCTTGACGGGGAAGAGGTATATTCAGGGCTCAACTGTGAGCAGAAGCCCCACGTTGTCAGATACCTGGATATAACGGCCCCACACACGCGTCCGGGCTACGCATTCTGGCGCACGTGGGGGTGTCGCGGGGATTAATGGGGTGGAGTAGTTGTTTGCCAGATAACTGGCAAACAACTAATTCACAAACCATGCTTTGGCAGCCATTGGTTGTACGTTTAGAGTGAATGTTGTAGCGCGGGAGAGTCAGTCAGTCGGCCCGGGCTCTGACCCGGGATTACCACCAACAGCAGACCAAATGCTACGCTCTTGTGGGACCAGCTGTGATGCCACCAGCTCTGATGACACCAGCTGTGGTGCCACCAGCTGTGGTGCCACCAGCTCTGATGACACCAGCTGTGGTGCCACCAGCTGTAATGCCACCAGCTGTGATACCACCAGCTGTGATACCACCAGCTGTGATACCACCAGCTGTGGTGCCACCAGCTGTGATACCACCAGCTGTGGTGCCATCAGCTCTGATGACACCAGCTGTGGTGCCACCAGCTGTAATGCCACCAGCTGTGATACCACCAGCTGTGATGCCACCAGCTGTGATGCCACCAGCTGTGATGTCCAGAGTTCTGATTGGCTGCTGAAAACTCTAGAGCCAATGTGAGAATCGTTAGCATTCTTTGAAGAAGCGGGTTCCCCGCCACTTAGAGGGACGCCACACTTGCCGCGGGCGTCAAGGTGTTGACGTGGGCTTGTCAACCTCACTATTTACGTCAGTGTCTGTCTTAAGTCACTGTCCTCGTGAACCACTGCACATACTTCATGGCATTATTAAGAAAAGTATCCGAATGAGCAACAAGTTTCTTTGCTGGTGATAAAAGATAGTGCAACTTGACCATTGATCTTGCCAAACCATTGAGGAATCAAGGTGATTGTATACGGAGAGCCACCTGGTGCTGGCTGGCTTACAGGTGGTCAGCTATGGCGAGTAGTCCATCACCCAACACAGCCATCTCCTAGTCTAATAGTCCTAACGGGCTATTCATGCCCGTGCCACCGCTTGGCTTAATCGTCTTCAGTAGCGCCAGTCCGCACGTCAGAGGTGCCACGTCTGGCACCACCTGGTGGGTGCCTAAGGTTGTAACTCTGCTGTGAAAGTAACCGCCACTACAACAGTTTTGGGTCATTACTCTCACATTGATCCCGTGCGTGAGAGGGGCCCGCGCGCGCGCGCTCACCTCCTCGCCCAGTTAATATTCCGTGTCCTTGGAGGGACCAGCTGGAGGAGGTCGCAGACTCTACTTCCGAGTTGGAAGGTGCGAGTGTTGGTAAGTTTCTTCACATGTATTTCAGCACATATCGAGGCTCAGTGTTGCATAGCATTCGTAAACACACACACACACACACACACATGAGCCACACACATACGGGAGGGACCAAAGAGCCAAGGCTCAGCTCAACCCCCGCAAGCACAAATAGGTGAGTACACACACACACACACACACTCAACACACACACACACACACACACACACACACACACACACACACACACACACACACACACACACACACACACACACACAACAATTCCTCTCAATGTTTGCTGACGACACCAAAATTATGAGAAGGATTAAGACAGGAGGACAGCTTGAGGCTTCAAGAAGACCTGGACAAGCTGCAGGAATGGTCGAACAAATGGCTGTTAGAGTTTAACCCAAGCAAATGTAATGTAATGAAGATAGGGGTAGCAAGCAGGAGACCAGATACAAGGTATCACTTGGGAGATGAAATACTTCAAGAGTCAGAGAGAGAGAAAGACCTGGGGGTTGATATCACGCCAGACCTGTCCCCTGAAGCTCATATCAAGAGGATAACATCAGCAGCATATGCCAGGTTGGCTAACATAAGAACGGCCTTTAGAAACTTGTGTAAGGAATCTTTCAGAACATGATATACCACATATAACAGACCAATCCTGGAGTATGCGGCACCAGCATGGAGTCCATATCTTATCAAGCATAAGACTAAACTGGAAAAGGTTCAAAGGTTTGCCACCAGACTAGTACCCGAGCTGAGAGGTATGAGCTACGAGGAGAGACTACGGGAATTAAACCTCACTTCGTTGGAAGACAGAAGAGTTAGGGGGGACATGATCACCACATTCAAGATTCTCAAGGGAATCGACAGGGTTGATAAAGACAGGCTATTTAACACAAGGGGCACATGCACTAGGGGACACAGGTGGAAACTGAGTGCCCAAATGAGCCACAGAGATATTAGAAAGAACTTTTTTAGTGTCAGAGTGGTTGACAAATGGAATGCATTAGGAAGCAATGTGGTGGAGGCTGACTCCATACACAGTTTCAAGTGTAGATATGATAGAGCCCGATAGGCTCAGGAACCTGTACACCTGTTGATTGACAGTTGAGAGGCGGGACCAAAGAGCCAGAGCTCAACCCCCGCAAACACAACTAGGTGAGTACACACACACACACACACACACACACACACACACACACACACACACACACACACACACACACACACACACACACACACACACGGATACTTTTATACATGTTTTTGCCGTTGTGTTCCATTTGCAGGTTCATGTTATTTTTCCTGTGTTGGGTTTTTGGTTTGTATAATCTTGGAGTTACACATTATGGTGCTGCTTCATCCCACTATTGTTCCTCCTCCCCCCTACCCCACCCCCCTACTCTCCTCCCCCACTACCCCACCCCCTACCCAATAGGGGCCCGTCCCCCTTGCCCCGTACCCGACCACATCACGCTGTCTGGTCATCTTATCAGCGTGCCGATAGCGTGCCCTTGCTCTTATCCACCTGCAAGCGGCGACCACCTGGATTCAGTCGTACTCACGCTGTTACAAGGTCCACGTTCTTGCGCCCGCTCCCTATAAGGAGTGTCCGTTGTACAGGATACTGCGTCTGCTGCTGCTCCTGCTGCTGTGATAAAGATAACACTCTCACTACATCAACTCCCTCTACTTCAACTCCCTCTACTTCAACTCCCTTCTCCAGTGAGGCATTGTAGCTGGTGTAGGCTGGGAATAGCGGGGTCCTCAGTGCACTTTTGAACACAAGAGGTGCTTAGGCACGTGCTTCCACTGGTGTCCACCCACACCAGGGGTCCACCACCCCCACCAGGGGTCCACCACCCCCACCAGGGGTCCACCACCCCCACCAGGGGGTCCACCACCCCCACCAGGGGGTCCACCACCCCACCAGGGGGTCCACCACCCCCACCAGGGGGTCCACCACCCACACCAGGGGGTCCACCACCCACACCAGGGGTCCACCCAAACAGGTGTTCGGTGAGAGAGGTGTCCTTCGGGTGTACAATGAGTTCGATGTTCATTCGGTCAGATGCGCATCCATGCCAAGTGTTCATCCCAGAGAACGTTCAGCCTGATGTTCAGCACCCAGGTGTACATGGAGTTCAGTGTTCAGGGTGATACAACAGCTGCTTGTTGAACCAAGCGGTAACCAGGACGCTGAAAAGACAGGTGCTATGCACTCATGGATTCAAATTATGTGGTTCGAACGCGCACAAGTGCTGCACCTTAGGGGGTGGACCAATGGGCCAAACACCTGTGGACGCACACACATGCTGCACCTGTGAAGCTGACAGATGGGGGTTAAACACCTTTGGACACTCACACACATGTCCTGCACATCCGAAATAGACTGATGCAACCCAAATGAAAAGCCTGCAGTCCGCGTGTATTGGAGGGTTGAGGTGTTGCGTTTGAAACTCACTCCTTAGACACCTGGAGCGATGTTCCGGGTGTGTGTGGTGCAGGTGACCCGCTGGTGACCCGCTGGTGACCCGCAGGTGACCCGCTGGTGAGCTCCCAATGGTGTATTTTGGCCTAGAGGATGTGCTGAGCGGCAACTTACGGCGCCCGAAGAGGAGGTGAGCGTCTCTAGTGGCCTATCTAGACACCTGCTAAGATGATCTGGCGTAAGATCTTTAACATTAATTATCTTCTTTTGGGGGGTTAGCAACAGTACAGTTGTTGTGTGTATTGGAGGTCCGATAACAGTGCCTGTTGACCTCTGGTGTTCCGGTGGGCACCTGGAGGGGTGCCTACAGTACACCTCCTAGTACTATGTTAAATCATTATACAATATTAAGGTACTCTTAACAAATCATTATACATTATTAGAGTACTATAATGACAAATCATTAAACAATATTATGGTAATATTATGGCAGGTTTTTCGTATTATCGTGTGTGTGTTTACTAGTTGTTTACTAGTTGTGTTTTGCGGGGGTTGAGCTTTGCTCTTTCGGCCCGCCTCTCAACTGTCAATCAACTGTTTACTAACTAATTTTTTTTTTTCCACACCACACACACACACCCAAGGAAGCAGCCCGTGACAGCTGACTAACTCCCAGGTACCTATTTACTGCTAGGTAACAGGGGCACTTAGGGTGAAAGAAACTTTGCCCATTTGTTTCTGCCTCGTGCGGGAATCGAACCCGCGCCACAGAATTACGAGTCCTGCGCGCTATCCACCAGGCTACGAGGCCCCTATGTGTGTGTGTGTGATATTCCACAGATCTCCAGGAATCTGTTGCATTTGGACACTTTGGATTATATTGTGGCATTAAGTGCTGTTTGTGTCTCAAATGTCTGTATGTCATTCATGTTTATATATCTCAATTTAAACCAGGAAAGTCTTAATTAACAGTGCAATTGGAAGGGTGAGAGGCAGCGTGTTCCTTGTGCAGTTCAGTACAACAGTTTAGACTGTGGAAGAGATGAGAGAGAGTGTCAGGGGGGCCGGGGGAGGGGGGGGGGGGAAGTGACGACCCCTTGAAGTGGATGAACAGTTTAAGACTGTTGAGAAAGTGTGAGACACTTGGTGCGCCTCTTGCGGGGTGTCGAGTATATTCACTCGTGCTGGGTATGACTGGCGGGTATATTAGTTTGTTTAGATACATCAATGCAAAGAGTAAAATTGGTACTTTTAATGGTATCAAGAAAGTTGATACCTCGCATACGCCTTTTAACGTGGGTTTCCAGGAGACAGGTTTGGTGTGATGTCAAGTCATTATATATATATATATATATATATATATATATATATATATATATATATATATATATATATATATATATATATATATATATAATATTTATTTATTTATTTATTTATTTATATAGATCCTTCTCTTTGTCCGTTTCATGAAGGACTTCGTTTCCTATTTGGTACCTTGTGTCCGGCCTCCTCCTTCCTCCACTTAGCTTCATTACTTTACATTTACTTGAATTGAACTTTAATAGCCATTTGTTGGATCATTCCTTCAGTTTGCATCGGTCATCTTGTAGCCTCTGGCTATCTTCCTCTGTCTTAATCTTCATAATTTCCGCATCATCGCCAAACGTTGGGAGGAACGAGTGTATTTTCCTCGTAAGAGATGGTTTACGTATATCAGAAACAGTATAGGTTCAAGGACTGAACCCTGCGGGACTCCACAAGTGGCGTCTCGCCACTCTGAGACCTCACTCCTCACAGTGACTCGCTGTCTTCTGTTGCTTAGGTACTCCCTTATCCAATGGAGTAGTCACTTAGTTGAGTTTGCGGGGGTTGAGCTCTGACTCTTTGGTCCCGCCTCTTAACTGTCAATCAACTGGTGTACAGGTTCCTGAGCCTATTGGGCTCTTATATCTACATTTGAAACTGTGTATGGAGTCAGCCTCCACCACATCACTCCCTAATGCATTCCATTTGTCAACCACTCTGACACTAAAAAAGTTCTTTCTAACGTCTCTATGGCTCATTTGGGCACTCAATTTCCACCTGTGTCTCATAGTGCGTGTGCCCCTTGTGTTAAATAGCCTGTCTTTAGCTATCCTATGTGCGCGTGTGCGTGTATCACTATTGTTTGTCGATTTTAGATAACCAGTTATCAAACTATATCTAAGAAAAATCTATTACGTAGAACTATTCGTTATCTTTCCTTGTGGTTGTATTGCATTAATGCCATTGTTGTGGCATGGCTGTGTTGTGGTTATCTGATAACAATGATGCCTCACTGATAACCATTTTACACATCCTCACCCATCGCGTGCTTTCTCCAATTGTTTTTTTTTTTTCTAATGACGTTTAGTGTCTGAATTTTCTTAGTTTTTATTCATCTTTCGTATTTTTTCCAAGTATAAGGGAGCCGGTCGGCCGAGTGGAGAGCACACTGTACTTGTGATCCTGTGGTCCTGGGTTCGATCCCAGGCGCCGGCGAGTAACAATGGGCAGAGTTTCTTTCACCCTATGTCCCTGTTACCTAGCAGTAAAATAGGTCCCTGGGTGTTAGTCAGCTGTCACGGGCTGCTTCCTGGGGGTGGAGGCCTGGTCGAGGACCGGGCCGCGGGGACACTAAAAAGCCCCGAAACCATCTCAAGATAACCTCAAGATCTCAAGAAGATATCCTGCGTGTTTCTATACTTGTATGCGTAATGATTAATACTGAAAACTAAATTAAATGACCGAAGAACATGAAAATAATGAATTTGAATTGGATAAGCGTAAATTTAGCACGAAATAGGCAAATTCAGCTTCGGAAATGGGAGAGTTGCAGCTCTGTGGAATAACTTGCCAAGTTTTACTATAGAAGAAAACCCGATGGAAAGTTATAATCATAGCGTGGATTTTTCATTTCATAGATTTTTCGTGAATTTTATACGTGGTGCACCACGTATAGCGGTGCACCACGTATAGCGGTGCACCACGTATAGCGGTGCACCACGTATAGTGGTGCACCACGTATAGCGGTGCACCACGTATAGCGGTGCACCACGTATAGCGGTGCACCACGTATAGCGGTGCACCACGTATAGCGGTGCACCACGTATAGCGGTGCACCACGTATAGCGGTGCACCACGTATAGTGGTGCACCACGTATAGCGGTGCACCACGTACAGCGGTGCACCACGTATAGCGGTGCACCACGTATAGTGGTGCACCACGTATAGCGGTGCACCACGTACAGCGGTGCACCACGTATAGCGGTGCACCACGTATAGCGGTGCACCACGTATAGCGGTGCACCACGTATAGCGGTGCACCACGTATAGCGGTGCACCACGTATAGCGGTGCACCACGTATAGCGGTGCACCACGTACAGCGGTGCACCACGTACAGCGGTGCACCACGTACAGCGGTGCACCACGTACAGCGGTGCACCACGTACAGCGGTGCACCACGTACAGCGGTGCACCACGTACAGCGGTGCACCACGTACAGCGGTGCACCACGTACAGCGGTGCACCACGTATAGCGGTGCACCACGTATAGCGGTGCACCACGTATAGCGGTGCACCACGTATAGCGGTGCACCACGTATAGCGGTGCACCACGTATAGCGGTGCACCACGTATAGCGGTGCACCACGTATAGCAGTGCACCACGTACAGCGGTGCACCACGTACAGCGGTGCACCACGTATAGCGGTGCACCATGTACAGCGGTGCACCATGTACAGCGGTGCACCACGTACAGCGGTGCACCACGTACAGCGGTGCACCACGTATAGCTGTGCACCACGTACAGCGGTGCACCACGTACAGCTGTGCACCACGTATAGCTGTGCACCACGTATAGCTGTGCACCACGTACAGCGGTGCACTACGTATAGCTGTGCACCACATATAGCTGTGCACCACGTATAGCTGTGCACCACGTATAGCGGTGCACCACGTATAGCTGTGCACCACGTATAGCTAGGTCTTGAAACCACTCTCTATCATATAGTTTTGAGGAGCTCCACATTTGCACCTAAAAGGCTTTGTAAATTGATTTCCCAATTTTAAACGGCATATTTCGACGTAAAAAAAAATCCCCACCGGCCAAAATACGTTATACTATAAATCATAGCGGCATAACCAAATGGATGTGTTGTCCCGTTTCCTGTTCGTGGGTCCTTGGTCAGGTTAGGTTCGGGCAATTCACGAGTATTGTGACATTGTGACAAGTGGAGAGGACAAGGTGGGACCCGGGCACCGCCGGGTGCCAGTAGGCCTCCTACAGACTCCTATATTCTTAATTATCACTCGAAAATATAAATTATTCTCTGGGCTATCATTCACCCTTCACGGGAATATGGAAAATAATTCTCTGGCGTACGACTAATAATTCCCTGGGGGGTATGAATTAATTTGTCTTCATAACTCACTGGAATATGAATTAATTCATATGTATCCACCAAGAGGATGACTTGATGAGTTGGCGGCAGATTACATTAATTAGCTTCAAGTTTTAAGGCTCAAATCGTCGAGCATCTGGCATACGGCCTGGCAGTAACCCAGTGTAATAATGTAATATTATGTGTAAAATGGTTAAGTCATATGTATTTATGTCGACATATTGCCTGTATGGTTTTTAACTTGTTTTCGTACAATGGTTCTGATGAAATCTTACTATGTTTACGTACTCGGTTATGTGCAAATTTTTAACTTTTGATCGGGGGGGTGGGGGGGTGGGGGGGGGGTGTGAGATGGGAAATGGAATAATTAACATGGTGAATGCGGAGATGAGGTATAAATATGAAAGAGCTTTGGTAGATATAAAGAGGATCTGCCTCTTGTGGGGCCAAGAGAGGATCTGCCTCTTGTGGGGCCAAGAGAGGATCTGCCTCTTGTGGGGCCAAGAGAGGATCTGCCTCTTGTGGGGCCAAGAGAGGATCTGCCTCTTGTGGGGCCAAGAGAGGATCTGCCTCTTGTGGGGCCAAGAGAGGATCTGCCTGTTGTGGGGCCAAAAGAGGTCTACTGCCGTCTCCTCTGTTGTTGTGTCTCTCCTCTTCGTAGTGACGTCATGCGTTGTGACTGTGACGTCACTCTCATTAAGACCTGTAATGACTCGAGTAAAAATTCGTCTTGATAGTAACTTCGAAGATTTATCTCGTGTTGATAAGGGTGAGGGACAGGGAAGGGTGGTATTGACGAAGGGGGGGGGGGTGAGTGATAATGGGTGTAAAAATGAACTTTGGAGTGTTAATTTTTCAACTTCCTTCTTAAGTGAATTTAAACATAAGAGAAATGCAGTAGATTCGCGCTAGAATCACTGATCTCGCCTTTTGTTACGTTCAAAATAAGTAAGTAAATTAAACACACACACACACACACACACACACACACACACACACACACACACACACACACACACACACACACATATATATATATATATAATAATTTATTTATATATATTATATATATATATATATATATATATATATATAATAATTTTTTTTTATATTTTCCTTCGTTATCTGCATTGTTTATATTTAATATTGATATATTAAATATTGAATATTTAATATATATATTTTTTTTTGCAGGTAAGTGCGGGGCGAGCGAGTGGCCAGACCAGAGAAGATCGCACTCTCAAGACACTTGAGTGCTGCTGTAGCGGTGTGTATCCCCCCTCCTCCCCCCCCTTGCACTCACACTTGCACTCAATAATTGACTCCCACACACGCACACACACTAGCTCATCTCCTTCTCTTCCGTTTTACACGTTCCCGGTCAGTTGATATCCTCTGCACCCTCATTGATTGACGTATAGTACACCTTTTAACACGCCTCGTTATCTTAACTAACACTCGGGTTGTTTGACTGTTTAGCGGTCATTACTGGTGTTGGTTATCTTCACCTTCACGCCCTCATTTCTGTAACCTTCGCACTTGTAATTACTCACACTGTCTTGAGTCAGTCTCTCGCTTTCTCCCTCACATCACATCACACACACACACACACACACACACACACACACACACACACACACACACACACACACACACACACACACACACGTAACTAATTTCCCCAGACTATTCCTTCTCTCCTCTCTCTCTCTCTCTCTCTCTCTCTCTCTCTCTCTCTCTCTCTCTCTCTCTCTCTCTCTCTCTCTCTCTCTCTCTCTCTCTCTCTCTCCACTCCGACCCCTCCCCCCCCGTTGCTCTCTGGTCATCACACCCTCCCTGGCACTTGCACCACCTGTCACCCCACTCCCGGCAGCTGGCACCACTTACCAGGCCCCCAACCAGCACGCTCAGGTAGCCAGGACGTACCTTGCACCAGCTGTGACACGTCTAGAACGCGTCCACCAGCTGTGACACGTCCAGAACGCGTCCGCCAGCTGTGACACGTCCAGAACGCGTCCACCAGCTGACGGTCGTGATACCCTCTGCAGTAAAGTTACTGCGTGCCCCGGGGCATATACTTCCCCCAGTATTGCCGTGCCCAGTTGAATCGTCTGCAATATCGACCACTTGACGCTTGCGGCGCCAGTTGGCTGCGGCGTGCACCATCTGTGAGGGCCTAGCAGATTCACCCACCATCTGTGAGGGCCTAGTGGACTCACCCACCATCTGTGAGGGCCTAGCAGACTCGCCCACCATCTGTGAGGGCGTAGCAGACTCGCCCACCATCTGTGAGGACCTAGCAGACTCGCCCACCATCTGTGAGGGCCTAGCAGACTCACCCACCATCTGTGAGGACCTAGCAGACTCGCCCACCATCTGTGAGGGCCTAGCAGACTCACCCACCATCTGTGAGGGCCTAGCAGACTCACCCACCATCTGTGAGGACCTAGCAGACTCACCCACCATCTGTGAGGGCCTAGCAGACTCACCCACCATCTGTGAGGGCCTAGCAGACTCACCCACCATCTGTGAGGGCCTAGCAGACTCACACACCATCTGTGAGGGCCTAGCGGACTCGTTCACCTGCTGTGGACCATCAATCAATGCCCAGCTGACCCCCTAACGCGGCATCAGCGGACTACGGAGCAAGCCAGCTGTGGGAGCCAGCTGTAGCCAGCGTACCCACAGCAGCTGCAGGTAGCAGGGATGGGTATCACCGAGTCGAACGTCTACCAGGTCAACGGTGGCGACGACCTGACCTCCGCTGTCTCCCCCGTCTCCACTCTCCCGGAACTGAGGTAACTTACGTTGTTCTGCTGCTGCTGCTGCTCTCCTCAGCTGCTGGGCTCTTGCCTCTAGCTGCTGGGCTCTTGCTCCTAGCTGCTGGGGTCTTGTTCGTCTAGGGGTCCCTCAGGTCTATAGCTTCACCTTGCCCTGCTGCTGGGGGTTTCTCTGAACACTGGCTTTCTTGGTGGTGCTTAGCGCTGGCATCTTTCTGGCATCCTAGCTCTCTCTTGTCGCTGGGATCCGTCTTCCTAGCTCTCTCTTGTCACTGGGATCCGTCTTCCTAGCGCTCTCTTGTCACTGGGATCCGTCTTCCTAGCTCTCTTGTCGCTGGGATCCGTCTTCCTAGCTTTCTTGGTGCTTGGATCCGTCTTCCTAGCTTTCTTGTTGCTTGGATCTGTGTGTCCTAGCGCCCTTGTCGCTGGGATCTGTGTCCTAGCTCTACTGTTGAAAAGGCACAGTACATGAAGACAAACATAAATTGGAAACCTGCTGATATTATGCATGCTGAGAATGGAAATACTGGCTCCCTCAGGAAGAACTGATGGAATATGCAAATATAAGCACCCCAGAAAAATGTTGGACTACTCTCAATACAGATCAATGGTGTTCCGAAACCTGCAGAAAGTTTTCCCACTCAGAACTGTGTAAAAGTTCACAAAATTCGAAGGAATTCTGTGAGAGAGAGAGAGTGAGTGGCCTGAATTTCATATCAAAGGACCCAGGCGAATACAGTCATATCAGAGTGATTGACAGGAAACAGTCTGAATGAACAGTCACACACATAAATCACCTCTTACGGTTCTTACGGTTGTCTTACTGATTTGCCGTAAGCCAGTAAATAGTAGAACCAATTAGGAAGGAACATACTAGACAATAATGAGCTGGTTAGGAACATAGTGATTAGCAATTTGTTACTCGGATAACAAGGTACATGAATTGTACCTGGTTGATGGGGTTCTGGGAGTTGTTTTACTCCCCCAAGCCCGGCCCGGGGCTAAGGCTTGACTTGTGATAACTTGGTCCAACAGGCTGTTGCTTGGAGCGGCCCGCAGGCCCACATATCTACCTCAGGAATAGTAATCGAAGTTGAGACAAGCATGGGAATTAGACCTCCACAACCAGTCACACATCCAAGGAGGAGGAGGAATTCAGGAGTTTTAATTTGAATAATAAACGGATTAACTGGTGACTAATTAAACCAAAACAGAGCAGAAATAAGCTGGGAAGAACAGCTTGACAATACAACCCTAAATCAATACCTCGAGGAAATAGGTGAAGTAGCACTATAGACGTGCTCAAGTCACACTCCACTGAGATAAAAAAAGCGAACAAGCTGCAGGTTGGTACAAGAACGGTGTTGTCTGTATACACGAAGAAAACAAATCGCAGAACTACTGAAACCCTCCACTGTATCCCAAGAACAGCAAGTAAGACTGTGTAGAGAAAGAGAAATGATCGAACGAAAGCTGCAAGAATCACACACAATAAAGGAGAGGTAAAGAAAGCAAAATGTCATTAGTGAAAAAAAAAATTCTTCTGTATAAAATCTAAAACCCAAGTATCCAACAATGGACCCTTGCGCAAGGGGGCTGTCCCTGGACAACACGGGTTCAGAACACGGTGCTCCTGCTCGTCACAGTTGCTAGGTCACTACCCTGGAAACACAAACCGTAACAGTCCCTATTTTCCGCTTGTTACAACTTGTAATAAAGTTGTTAAATCTTGGCTTAACGTGTTTATGACGTATTAGAACGTTGTTACAACTAGTTATATTGGTTGTTATAACTGGTTAGGAAGTGTTAAAACTTGTTCGAACGTTGTACCAACGTCGTAGTTTCGGTGTGTGTTTGGCGGGTATGACATGGCCCCATCTGTCGTGGAAGACAAGCAAAAAGGATTTCGCGACAGTTTTCGACAAATGCGTCCATTGCGTTATGTGCGCACTAAATGCGCACAAACGGTATTACCGCCTGAGGAGGAAGATGGATAATACGGTAAAAATCCGGGTCATGTACTGTGAAAAGGTCAGTACCTCAAGGTACTGTGCTTGCTCCGGTACTTTTCCTCATCCTAATATCAGACACAAACAAGGATACAAACTACAGCACTGTATCATCCTTTGCAGATGACACTAGGATTGTCATGCGAGTAGACAATATAGAGGACACAGCAAACCTCTAATCTGATGTTAAGGAAGTCATCAATGGACCACAAAAATTAATATATTCTATAAAGATAACTTCCTCTCAAGGAAAAAGCGAAAACATTAAACGGAAACCACATATAAAACACAGACAAACTACATTGACAGAAAAATCATAACAGGTTTGGGAGTAATCATGTTTGAAGTCTAGTTTAGTTCATTTATTATGCACCCCATACCCATCTTGTGGGCGGTAGTGGACAGGGTTACAGAGGCACATAATGTTTGAAGACAAACGAGACCTTTTAAGGAACACAATAAAGTAACTGTCACAACTGCGAGAAAAATGGCAGGTTGGATAACAAGAACCTTTCATGCAAGAGACGCCGGGCCATTGATATTCTTCAAGACACTAGTGCTCTCTAGGGTGGAATATTGTCTAACACCAACAGCCTCATTCTAAGCTGGAGAAACTGTTCACCTGTAGAATATGCAGAGATCTTTTATTGACCAAATTAATTCAACGATACATTAAAATTATTGGGATTTTTTAAAATTGTTATAACTGTTTTCTAGAGCGCAAACCCGAGAGAGAATAATTTACACTTGGAAAATTTTATAGGAACTGATTTCAAATCTGCCAGCGGAAGTAACTCCATATGAGACCAGGAGGCATGGCAGGATGTGCAGAATACCCCCGTTGAAGAGCAGAGGTGCAACAGGTACTCTGAGAGAGAACTATTAACATCAGAGGCCCGAGACTGTTCAACACGCTTCCACTACACATAAGGGACATAACTGGCCGACCCCTCACAGTGTTCAAGAGAGAGCTATCAACATCAGAGGCCCGAGACTGTTCAACACGCTTCCACTACACATAAGGGGCATAACTGGCCGACCCCTCACAGTGTTCAAGAGAGAACTATCAACATCAGAGACCCGAGACTGTTCAACACGCTTCCACTACACATAAGGGGCATAACTGGACGACCCCTCACAGTGTTCAAGAGAGAACTATCAACATCAGAGGCCCGAGACTGTTCAACACGCTTCCACTACACATAAGGGACATAACTGGCCGACCCCTCACAGTGTTCAAGAGAGAACTATCAACATCAGAGGCCCGAGACTGTTCAACACGCTTCCACTACACATAAGGGACATAACTGGCCGACCCCTCACAGTGTTCAAGAGAGAGCTATCAACATCAGAGGCCCGAGACTGTTCAACACGCTTCCACTACACATAAGGGGCATAACTGGCCGACCCCTCACAGTGTTCAAGAGAGAACTATCAACATCAGAGACCCGAGACTGTTCAACACGCTTCCACTACACATAAGGGGCATAACTGGACGACCCCTCACAGTGTTCAAGAGAGAACTATCAACATCAGAGGCCCGAGACTGTTCAACACGCTTCCACTACACATAAGGGACATAACTGGCCGACCCCTCACAGTGTTCAAGAGAGAACTATCAACATCAGAGGCCCGAGACTGTTCAACACGCTTCCACTACACATAAGGGACATAACTGGCCGACCCCTCACAGTGTTCAAGAGAGAACTATCAACATCAGAGACCCGAGACTGTTCAACACGCTTCCACTACACATAAGGGGCATAACTGGACGACCCCTCACAGTGTTCAAGAGAGAACTATCAACATCAGAGGCCCGAGACTGTTCAACACGCTTCCACTACACATAAGGGACATAACTGGCCGACCCCT